AATTAACTTACAGTGTTGCTATAAAAGTGTACTTTTTATTCATTGATTGCTAGTTTAAATATACTCTTTTTTTTAAAACACTAAATACTAAACATATTGATCAATGTACAGAGAACCAATCAGAATTAGGAGATTGCAAACGTAACCCCCCCCCCTTCTCAGTTATAACTGCATCCAAAAATGTATTAAGATGCATTAAATCGTGTATCAAGACGTGCAATGAATTAAACTCAAAATCGGATCCTGCAGCCCATGTGGCTTCAAATTCACGGAGCTCTAAGTTCGAAGTAGCCAGCAGCTGAAACCTTATCTGAAGGGGCTACTCTGCCCTGTCAGTGAAGCAGTTGGATTAATTATAACTCCAATGGAGGAGGGGAGCTGGTGCGTGTGTGACAAATGGAGAGTGTGTGCGTGCGTGTGTGTGTACATGCATGTTAGTGTGTATTACTGACGGATACACTGAAAGGAATGAAAGAGGAGGTGCCAAGGTGGTTATAATAACTCCATAGGAGGAGTGAGAGAGGATTAGATTAGAGTAGAAACAAAAAAACAAACAAAACAAAAACAGAGATGGATCTAAAGCAGGAGAGAAGAGAACCATATTTATGGTGAACTGATCAATCAGACAGAAAAAAAATCACAATGGGTCTGGCAACTCCTGGAATTCCTACCTGAAAGCAGCATACAGAAAGCAGGACAGCATTGACATGACTAATTATTCATTTATTTATTTTTTTAATATTCAGATCTTAGATCAAGGATTTCTTTGTAGATTATTTGTGTTGACTGTGGCTGTTTGTACACATCTAATTGCAAATATTTTGAAATATATCATGATGGGTAATTTATCAATAATGGACATATTGACTGATAAAAAGGGGTTGCTCTATATTTTACTTATCGAGCTGGGTTTCAATGGGAAGAGAGAAATATCAACACATAGTCTTACATAACCTGGACTGTCATTACAGCTCCTAACTATGGCCTGCAAGAGGTTGGAGGTAATGAATTGATTGCCTGTGTAAACAGAGGACTTAATCAGGTAATTTTTAATTGCATTCAGTAATTCAGTGGTTCCTTCCTGAACTTAAAATGCATTTCTGCAGCACCTGTGCTCACTGATATGTCAATGAAAATAGGAAAAGAGGAGGTAGGCTGACAAAATCTTGGATGCCTTGGTGGATGAGAGCAAATGAGCAGGGCCTCCTTGGGTACAGGCCGAAAGTAGAGAATGTGGATTAGGGAATGTGTTTGCGTGTGTGTGGGGGGGCTGAAGGGGTGGAGGAGCTGCAGAGCAAGGTTGAGCTACTTTTATGCACTTGCTGTGAACCATTTTGGATCCGGGGGCCAGTGAAACACCTAAAATGTAAAGGGACGGGCAGTTGTTGGGGAGCGCAAGAGGGAGACGCGCAAGAGGAGGTCAGAGGGGCCGAGGGGGAGGAGATTAGAGAGAGCAAGCCTGGAGCATAGAGGGAGGAGGAAGATGGAGATGAAAGGGTGTGTGCAGCAGGTGGCAGAAAAGATGAGTGCAGTTGGTCGGAAGATGTGTGACCGAGGCAGCTGAAGAGAGACAGAGACTTTGGAAAGGGTAGAATATTTTGGGGGGTTTGTGTGTTTTGAAAATTAGATGTAGTTTGGTGACAGAGAGCATTTTGGACACTTTTTAGACGTGAATAGGCTGAAGGAAAAGGGTATTTTCTTTGTAAAAGCTCCCTCAGTCTCTGTGGCTGCCTACCTGCAACTTTTCTAGTGAGGCTTTCTTCAGCTGAAAGTTTCAGGACTATCATGGGAGCACAGAGGGCGAGAGTGACAGGGAACGTGTAAGAATAGCACAAGCTCAGGCATTCAGTAGCTGGAACCAATACTCTTGCTGTACATGAGCGTGCTACCTTTTAAAGTGTGGCAGCATGCTCGACATGTACAGTAGATCTTTCTTTATTTTAAGAGCGAATAGGCAGGACTTGATGTTGGAGATTTAAATGAACTTGCTGTCCATTTTGCTGCTGTGAGGAGTGGCTGAGGATACTGAGGATGTTGTAAGTGGACAGGTAAAAATCGAACACAACCATAAAATATCAGCTCCTTTATCAGCTCTTGTTTCTCTTCATTTTGATTCAATCAGCTCATGGAATCACCCTCCAGTGCTCGGGGTGAGCATAACATGAAGATGGTAAAATGTCACCATGTGGGCAGTGTTATGGAAGATGATGGGCGGTGTGACATGCCAAAGACAGGCAGAGGTTGATGCATGGCTACCTATTCGGTGGATTTCTCAAAATTATATTGAGTCTTCTCTGCTTTATGTGACTGTAGAAATTCTCCTGAGATTCCTCCATATGGTGCTTTGGCATGACTGAGATTCAAAACGCAACGTAAATTATTCTGGTTATTTAGTTATATTTATTATTATATATTATATAGTTATATTCCTGTTTGTTTGTTTTTTAGCAATGTAAGGCTCTGTGTGGTGTTTCCAAGTGACAAATAAAGACTTTGAATGCTGCTGTGTAAGGCCAAGAAGGGTCAGGACCTCTTTTCTTGGCGTTCCTCAAATAGCTCAGTGTAGTCACGTGGGGATCGGTGAGGGGAGCTGCAGCACATGGAGCTGGAATTGGAGACCTGGTCTGGTGCAGGGGAGAACCCAAAGTCTATAGTCTTAAGCTGAATGCCAACTAATGGAAGCAGCAAGACATCAAAGTCTTGAGCAATATGTCAGAAATATTCCAAGATCAGATATTTAGACTTTAAATTAGATAGTCTTTTTTACAGCATTATTTGGTCACTAAGGTCAAGAATTAATAAAACTATTCATCAAATCATTGTTTTATTCCAGATGTTTTCAGTGTGGTTCAGTCTTGTGTGGATGTGCTATAAAACCTGTCATTTACAAAGCAGAACTGACAAATTTCAAATTTTAAAGACTTGATTCATCTTCATGGACTTTTAAGCTGCCCCCCAGGTGTAACAAACGTTTTACAAGGATAAATATATCGACTGCATCCCTTCAATGCCACGACCTGTCTGTGTGCCAGCAGATGGGACAACGGTCTATTTGCAGCAAAGCTCACAGCACTGTCATCACAACCTACCAGCAGCTGAATACACATTAATCATATCACAACCATGAGGTTTCAGTCTGGTATGAAGGACTGAACCAGAAACCTGAAGTGAGAGCCTCACAGCAGGAAGGTAGCTCAGTGTATGAAGCAGCAGTGCCACCTAGTGAGAGCCTGAAACACTGCACAGGCACGCACTGAAACGCGGTTAGGTCAATGAACATGAGGAGAATTACTGCCGTTTTGCACAAAGTAGTTGGACAACTGAGTTTTTTCATGACAAATTTAGCTGATAAAACATCTGGATTTCCCCCCCCCAAGTGTTAACAATATAGAGGCTGTTCACCTGAGCTCTCAATATGAAGTGAAGTGATGTCAGTGCAAATGAAGGAGCTCATCATTAACCAAAATAAACCAATCAGAGAGACTTTAACAGTGGTCAAATCACGGACCGGATACATTCAAGAATAAAAGCACTTCTCAGTCAGCAACACCAAAAGCCCTGAGAGGCACCTATAGTGGATAACTACAGAATTATTTCCCGTGGATATTACATTGCAAGTTAGTGCAACACTTTTATTAAACTCCTTGAATTGAGGCTGAAAATGTAATCATCCAGATACTTATGTAATATGGATGAACAAATGTGATATAATGACAGAACGGCAGAGCAGCTGGGACTGCTTGATTCATCATCACATGGTTTCTGCTGGAACTGTAGTGGAAAGTCAATTGAAGAGTGGGAGTGTAACAGCTTCTTTGTAAACTGTTTAAATACTAGTGTGATGACCATTCAACTCTCTCGGTTTGGTTTGGAGGTGGGCAACCCGTGTGACGCGGGGCTTAAGAGGAAGCACACCTGTCACCACGTGGCTGATTGTTTAAAATATGTCCCTTCTCTCCTCTATGCTACGCATGTGGTTTTGTTTAGATTTGTTTCTGGGAGCCAAAAAGGCCATCTTTATGTTGCAGTTTTGCCTGATGTATATTTGAGGATGAAGATGACTATTTCACCATTTTGATGTTATTGTCATGATTGGAGAAATATAAATCAGTTTCTTTATTTGGTTCACATTCAGAATTAACTTCACGATGGTCTTCATCTGCAGACAGATCCTCCTCCTCTATGATCAAAGTTGAATTTTAGAGCTTTCAGGGCTATGACCCTTTATTCTGCTGCTCATTCGGTAAAACTCTGACAGGAGAATGTCTCATATGTAGCTGTGGAATGTTGTCAGGACTCCACTGCAGAGATTCTTTACACGTTTTGCTCTCTTGCTGGCGAGTGTCCCCTCAATGTGGGTGGAGAAGAAGTCATAACGCCACCTGCATTCACGCGGTTTACACGAGGTCAATAGAACCTCATGTAGGGAGTGTTGTGCGTGTGGTGAAATGTGTCTCACAGCTGCACATAAAACAAATAGATTTTGACCCCTTTAACAACCACTTTGAATGCCAGGTCGAACTGACCCAAACACTATCTATGTGATATAAACATGCGGGGGTTAAAAAATACTTTAAAAAATCGAAGGGAAAATTTTTTTTTAACTTTAAAACAGGCCAGTTTGACCCGCAACATAAAAGGCCTGTTAATCATTGGTTACTAAGCTCTGGTTCTCTTCACAGTGTCTTTTTGTCCCATCTCCCTCCCCAGATCCCCAAACCTGTCGTGGCAGACGGCCGCCCCTCCCCAAGCCTGGTTCTACAGGAGGTTTCTTTCTGTTACGAGGACGTTTTTCCTTCCTACTGTTACCAAGTACTTGCTCATAGGGGTTCATCCGATTGTTAGGGTTTTCTATGTTTTTTTTACTTTACAATATTAAGCACCCTGGGGTGACTTTTGGTGTAATTTGATTCTATGGGGACTAGTAGCTGTGTATGATAACAAACCACTTACAAAAAATTCACATAAAACTCACACACACACACAGCAATTTATTAGTATTTTACTTTATTTATCTTTACATAGAAGTATCATAATAAACCCACCGTGTCATATTTATATGTCACTATTTACAAGTTAGAAAAAGAAAAAGAAACTTGCAGCTGTGAGTTGTGTGAGCACATTGACCTGCTGTCAGCTGGACGTTCAGCATTTACTTTAGTGTGGAGTGAATTTACTCTCCAGCTTCTCCAGTTTAGCAAAAAGACATTCAAGGCAACTTTTCAAGTAAACTTAGCTCTAAAATGTGGACTAACATGTCGCAATGATGTGAAACTCTAATGTGATTTGAGTAAAATTGTTTTTCCTTCTAAAGTGAAAAAAAAAAATGATAAAGAAGAAACGGGTCCACAATAAACCACCTTGTGTTCAATATACTTAACATAAAGAACACACAGATAAAATCCACCTGACACACAGGCTACACGCTGCAATGAATAAATAAATAACTCTAAAAGTGATAAGTCACTGCAGATCAATGCCGGATTAATTTCCCCTAAAACTACATCTGCATTAGTGTCACTTATGAGCCACCTCACATCACTGCCTACAAACTGTGAGCTAAATTGATATTTTAGCCAGTTGTCATAGACAGTTTCCAACGATTAATTAGTTCAAAATGGACCAGAGTGTCCAAATGTAACAAACAGCAAATATGTGTAAGACAGCACTATAACATCTATATTAATGATACGTGATAAATTATACGAGTCCTTCATGTTGCTTGTTTTTTCTCACTCACTGAAATATAAAAGGAGTTTAGTAACTAATGCAGACTTGTCATCAGTAATGTTCCCAGCTACTCGTTACAAAGGTTAACTGGGCTCTACAGCGACAAATCAAAAGGAGCCGTTTCTGATAGAGAAGCAGGGAATTTGGCCTCAGGACATTTACATGTCTGGGTTAAAAATGAAGGAATATCCTCTCAAACAGAATCTCAGTGAGACGTGAAGAGGGCATTTATGAACCTAATATTTATGCAGGAGTGTCATCGCTTCTGAGTCTGTGTCTTATAAGCTTCAGCACTGTAGCTACATGTAGATGGTTACATGTCTATAGAGAACTTAAAGCCAGCCAAGTGCACATCCAGTAAACACCCGGCTGTGCACAGAGGAGACGATTGTGCCACATAGGCAGTTTTAAGCAGCGTCATCTGTGCTCACATGTACACTCACATGTCTAAAGGTGCAATGCCGTTTTCGGCTTTTCCAAATTAAAAGGTTAAACTCTCATCTGCGCTGCATAGCTTTCTGAAAACAACATAAGATGATGAAAATGTGGATTTCTGACAGTGAAATAGACGTTTTGATGATACGCAGACCTGCACAGACGCTATTGACTTGACTCCAGTGTCCTTCCTCCTTGAGAGCAGCAGATCTCCAAACATAAAAGTGTCTGCTCAGCAGCCTCAGTCAGCTTTACCCTGCATCTGAACTCATTTGTATTACATTTGACAAACAAAGACAGTAGAGTTCAACAGTTTCAAGGCTGTCAGTTAAATCCTGAACACAAACAGCTACACGAGTGTAACTGGTTTAGACTAAAACTGACAAATGTGCTTACATTAATCAAAATGTATTAAAATAGTGTTCAGTCCTGTTTTACAAGGGTGTAAACACCACATACATATATATAAATATATATATATATATAGCTGCTCATTTGTTTCATTAGTTCTTTAGACTCTAATATGACAGTAAAAGGCTTCAAGTCTTTATAGAAAAAAAAAATCAGCTGTAGAGAGACAAAAACAAATATACATTTAGCAGAGTTGTAAAAATCAATCTGGACTGTTTTGGTAACTTGACCAAAAAAAAAAGAAAAAAAAGAAATCCAGATGCAGACACAGTGTCACATTTAAATTCTTCAAAATTCCTCCTGAACGTCTGAATGATAGAAAACAGGATTTGAGCTTTTCCCCTAAAACTGTAGTTATAAGTCCTTTCTCTTAATCTCACCTTCTTCAGCATAAGATGAGATATTTTCAAAAAGTACTGAGTGATCCACATGTGATGCTATGTACGGCAGTCTTTTCAGCAACGAGACAGAAAGAAAAGCTTCAGCCTTAAATAAAATTTGATTTTTTCCAGTGGCTTCCCTTCAACTGGAGTTCAAAGGTTATCACAGACAGTGACCTCACCTCCTGATTTCTCTATCATTCACGCATCCGTGCTCCCTGTCCTATCAGATAAGTGCTCGCTGCTGCTCTTCCTGTAGAAATGCCTGTTTCTCCATCAGCTTCCTGAATAGTCCTTGCCTGTTTCCTAGCAGCTCAGTAGGCTGGCCACACTCAGCTATGCGCCGCTGGTCCAGCACAGCAACAGCGTCCGCGTTCTTAATCGTAGAGAGACGGTGAGCGATGATCACGACTGTCCTCCCTGTTAAAAGGACGACAACAGCACGAAATAAAATATAAGTGTGGTTACGTATGTGTGACGCAACAGGAAAGGCAGGGAAAGCAAAGCGGGTAAAGTGTACCTTCCATCAGACGCTCCAAAGCCTCCTGGACAAGAAACTCATTCTCAGCATCCAGCGCACTACAGAAAAATGAAGATTAAAATAAATTAATATCCACCTTTAAACTAAGTTTCTATCACAGGTTACTTACAATCCGTATTCATGTTCAGATGAGCAAACAATGACAAACAAATCAACAAAGTATGATAAGTTATAATTCATTCCCCGTCTCTCACCTGGTAGCCTCATCTAAAAGCAGGATCTTTGGATTCTGTGGAAAGAAACCACAAATATGATTAAAAGACACCATTTCACACAAAAAGGAAATCTGGAAAAAGAGTAGAAGATTCTAGTCAAAATAAATCTACTCAAGTTCTTCGGTGAATGCAATGATTCTAGATGCGTAAAACAATTACGGTCTATTTACCTTGAGTAGAGCTCTGGCTATGGCTATCCTCTGCTTCTGACCACCTGACAAACAGACACAAGGTAATTATGTGCACAGTCAGAGTCAAGTTAGTCAACAGCAGCTAAAAACCCCAGAAAGAAATAATGAAATGATGCTCTGATAGCGCGAGCTTTCAAAAAAGAAACCTGCGCCCATTTAAGGAGTTTAAATCAATCAATCAATCTTTATTTATAAAGCACTTTTCATACAGAGAAAATGTAGCACAAAGTGCTTTACATAGTTAAAAGCAGCCCACCCCACCCTCCAACTCACTCCCCACACTCTCAATACACATATATCCCCCCACCCACACACACATACACACACGCGCACACTTAAAGAGTAAAAATTGGGCTGGGCTCGCATGAGCCAAGTGAGGAAACACTATAACAGGGAGCCGTCTGCACCGGGAGCCGGTCACAGACCGCAGCCTCCAGGCTGGGCACACAGCAGGAGGGAGGCAAAGGAGCCCCCCAGCCAGTCTGAGAGGACCCCAGAGACCCAGCAGCCACGGTCAATAACAGCCCCGGTGCAGAGAGCGCCCTCCGAGGAAACACTGGAGATATGACGCAATACAATATATATAGGGTAAAATGATAAAATAAATAAGAACAGGATACAATATAAATATAAATAGAATAAGAAGATTAAAAAACGAATAAGAATAAAATCAAACAAATATTAGGTAAATCCTAAATTAATAATAGAATAACAGGATAGAATAAATAAGCATAAAATAAATAAACGCTAAGTAAAAGCTAAATTAAAAAGGTGGGTCTTGAGCCTGTTCTTAAAAACATGTACGTTCTCTGCGGCCCTGAGCTCCTCCGGCAGGCTGTTCCACAGACGAGGACCATACCACTGAAACGCTGCCTCTCCGTGAGTATGTGTCCTGACTTTAGGGACAATCAAAAGGCCAGTACCAGAGGACCTCAGGGTCCGCGAGGGTTCGTATGGTAAAAGCAGATCTGAGAGATAAGAAGGCCCAAGACCATTAAGACATTTAAAAACCAATAAAAGAACTTTAAAATCGATCCTGAAACACACGGGGAGCCAGTGCAGCGATTCTAAAACCGGTGTAATGTGGGCCCGCCCTCTGGTCTTCGTCAGCACACGAGCTGCCGAGTTTTGCAAAAGTTGTAAAGTTGAAATATTCTTCTTAGGAAGACCAGAGAGCAGGGCATTACAGTAATCAATGCGACTGGTAATAAAAGCATGCATCAGCATCTCCGTGTTGGCCCGAGAGAGAATAGGGCGGACTCTGGCTATATTTTTTAGATGATAAAATCCAATTTTAGTTACATGTTTAATATGTGGGATAAAACCAAGCTCAGAGTCAAAAATAACACCCAGGTTTTTCACTTGTAGCGAAGGACATAGTGAAAATGCCTCTAATTTAGGCAAGAGTTTCTCTCTCTGAGCCTCAGGACCGACAATTAAAACTTCAGTTTTGTCCTGGTTAAGTTGTAAAAAGTTTTCTGCCATCCAAGATCTTATATCCAAGATACAGTTAAAAAGGGCATCCATTTGTCTGGTGTCATCAGGAGACACGGAGATGTACAGCTGCGTGTCATCAGCGTAACTGTGGAAGTTCACTCCATGCCTCCTGATGACACCGCCGAGAGGGAGCATATACAAATTAAAAAGTACAGGGCCTAGAACCGACCCTTGAGGCACACCACATGTCATTTTATGGATCTTAGAGGAGCATGTATCCATACTCATGTATCCATAAAGTCTAAAGATAGAGCTTCTGAACAGGTAGTATCAAATATTAAAACATAAAATGATTTTGGAGTTTAAATCCATCCATTCATGATGAGAATTTTGAACATGCTTCCTCAGTAATTAAAACAAATTAAATGAGGTCTATTGTGTTCATGTTCAGCTCCATATTTTTACTCTTAAATATTTAATTCATGGCACTAAATATATATTTTTTAAATTTATCTTATACTGGGAGCATTTAGAGCAGTCTAAGGCACTACAGTGAAAGCACAAATAAATGTCTAAGGAATTGGACAGATGAAAAAATAGTTCCCATTTAAGTCTCACAAATAAAACTTTCTGTAGTGTCGGCTCATAAATAGTTGATTTGGTTCCTCACCTGACAGCAGCACTCCTTTCTCCCCCACCACAGTGTCAAAGCCTTTAGGAAACGTCTGGATGAAGTCATAGGCGTTGGCTACTTTGGCTGCTCTGTAGACGTCCTCTGTGGTTACAGCATCTGGATCCGTCGCTCCATAAGCGATATTCTCTCTGATAGAGCAGGAAAAGAGCACCGGCTCCTGCAAGAGGGAGGCGAAAAGTGCAGCAGGGGTGAGAGGTCATGTATTGTAATACATTATGCATTGCTTTTGCCGTATTTAACTTGTGTGGTGTGCGTTATATCTGCTGTATAAAACAAGTTAACCATTAAAGTATTACCTGGCTAACAGTTCCAATGTGACTTCTGAGCCAGTAAGCATTTAAATCCCTGATGTCATGACCGTCGATGGTGATCACACCTGAACAAAAACATTCATGTCAAATCCACTTTATCAGTAGCTTCAAGTGTTACAGTCACGGCGGAGAGGACAGAACGAGCTCGTTCTCACCAGCATCGGGGTCGTACAGCCTGAGAAGAAGTGAAACCATGGATGATTTCCCAGATCCACTCGCCCCCACCACAGCCATGATGCTACCGGCCGGGACCAAGAGATTCAGATTCTGGAAAATGGGGGCTTCTTTACGTGTCGGGTAGGCAAAAGAGACATCACAGAACTTGAGCTGGCCTTTCAGCTGGTCCGCTGGGAGGATTTTACCTTCTGTGGAGGAGCAGAGGATTTTATTGTATTAAACCAGACAAAGCTTAAAACTCGACTCGAGATTGATTTTAAACAGAAATCGTACATTTAAACACGTAAATGTGAGATGAATGTTTCTAGGAGAGATGTTCGAAATGTTAAATCAACTTGTGTTTTATAGTAGCAACTTGAAACTATCAATAAAACCTCTGAAAATTAATATACAGCGTAAACGCACTTCTATGCAACAACGTCATACTTTGCTTATAAAAGCATCTGTACCACTTTTTGTGTTTCTGACCTACAGTTTGTTCTGGTTTGAAAAGAGTCTGAAAACTTGCTTTAGGTTATTTATTTCATTAAGGAAAAATGAAAGCAAAATGCTAAACGTGTCAGGATTTGCATTTCTGACGCTTCTCCATCTGAGAAGTTTTACTGTACTTGAAGCTCAGTTGTGGCCTGTAAATAAATTAGGGGCCTGTGTTTTCAGTTCAGACAACAGTGAGAGAAACATTAGCACAACTAGGCAGGTTGCTACAATTTGTTTGCTCCAGTTTGCCCCAGATTTTAAAGCACACCTGACAACAGGAGCCGTTTAGCTCAAACTCGAGGAGCAGACCTGGTAGTCGGATCAGTTCGATGTTAGATTAAGTTGCCGCCACAAACAAAACCACTCGAGAGTTCTGTGGCCAGGCTAAGATCACGTACTCAGGTTTCAGAGCAGTTATTGCTCAGCTCCCCAAACAAACCAGAGACCCATTAAATTGATCGTCCCTCCTCCCCGCTCTCCTGCTGGCCTGCACTTCGTTAACCATCTCAACTCCTCTCTTTCCACGCACACACGGTAAGACCTCCCCATGGCCACTCATAGGGAACCAATGTAATTAAGCAATAGATAAACAATATAAACAATTAAGTTCCTGTTTTTCCACTATCGACATTGGGTCCACAATGAGGATAAAAATTTTTTATTTTTTTTTAAAAAAAAAAAAAAAAGATATTTTCTTTATGATTTATAATTACAGCACAGTCTGGGCTATGAACTACCAGAGCCTTTTCTTTTATTTGTATTTATTTCTTAAAACTTTAAGCACAAAGAGTCGTGCTGACTCTGACTTTATAATGTAGGAAAACTGAGAGGCACTGTTAAATTGCACTTCTTTACACTGACAGAAAGGAGAGTTTCAATGGTCTGTATGTGGCATCTCTGGTATAATGGACCTGGTCCAAGACTCACTTGAACTTGACTTTAGAGGTAAAATGTGCTCAGGCATTATACAAATACACTTTGAGTGAGTAGTAGTACAACATAACACGCGCAGGTATAAATCAGAATAATAAAATGTTGTGTGTACTGACCATTTAGAGGAAACTCAGGCTTTCTGTCCAGCAGCTCCCAGAGCCTGGCCCCGGCTCCAAAACCCTTCATCAGCTCAGAGTAGAAAGAACTCAGACCTGCAAGTAAAACACAAAACCAGCGTGCTGTCAGCAACTGCACATCCACATGCTACATACACTGGTATGTATGTATGAATATGTACATCTTACCTGCGATACTGATGCCCACCCAAAAGGTGTACATGAGGAAGGATGAGAGCTCTCCCACAGTCATGTGCTGACTGGCCATCAGAAGGCCTCCTTTGTAGAGCACCGACAGGATCATCATGTTACCACTCAGACCAGTCTGAAATACACACGCACGCACACACACACCGATCACATGTTATCTAATTAACATAACATTTGGGACCACTTCTCCTCAATTACACTGATAATCATCTATTAGGGAACCAGCACAACGAGCTAAATGTTGAGTTTTCTCACCAGTCTCTGTCTTAATGCCTGTTACAAATATTGCACATTTATCTGGTGCCTCACAACAAACAAACTCATCAGCCCTGCAATAAAAGGTAACACACAGTGCATGTTTATTGTTGACAGTGCATCACATGGTGTTGATTAAATGCTTTATATATGATCACGTTCATAAAAGAAGGAGAGTAATCCAAGCTATGAAAAGAGAAGACGTGCAGGTTTTATAGACTACGTAACTGTTTAAAAGCTATAACGCTGGACATGCTGCGTTGCGCTTTATTTAACTTTTAATGCACACAGGCTGGTTTAAATATTCTCCGTCGTTGCATGGAGAACTGAATCAAACGGCAATTATGGTGCAACACCTCCTTGATTGTAACAAGCTCAAACTATGGGGCAAAAAGCAGAAGCTTGAGTGCAACACCTCATTTGCTAACGTATTTGATTTGCATCACTGAAAGGACACAAACGTACTCACCACTCCAAAGAAACCAGCCCGCATCACAGCCTCCTTCTTAGCCAGGCCGAGGACGTGGTCAGTCTTCTGTGTGTATTTGTCGACTTCTGACAGCTCCTTACCGAAAGCTCTGACTGTCCGCATGTTGCTGATTCGCTCCTCTGCCAACTACACACGAACGTGATTTTATTAGGACTTCACTGATTGAAAATCAAATTATCAACAAGAAAATTTACTCTGTCTGCCTATTTAATTAAGTTACCTAAGGAAGTAAAGCACTTATATGACATGTACACAAAACTAAGGATCTACTGCACAACACTCTGTTATACTGACTGCCTTCAAAGCCACTTTGAATTACATTCACCACACTTAGTAAACTATTTAAGCTATGCACTATAGTCATATATTTACATGGCTCTATATTGTAGTTTATCTTTATTATACATTTTCAACTTATTTTTTACTTTTATTGTATCTTTTTATTATTTAACCTATCAAATTATTGTTATATTTAATAATATTTATTTTGTGAAGAATTGAAAACTTTATTTGTAGGACTTACATGGGATCTTTTTTGAAAAGGCCAAAAACACTGGGTAACTACCCTTAAAAACCAAAACACTGGATCATAACAATAATCCTAGTAATATAAATTCAAGCTGTTTAACCCAGATGCGGTGTCGGTCTGTTTGCGTACCTGTGTGGCTTGTGCGAGTGCGTCCTGTGTGCGCTTGGAGATTGAGCGAAGGTATCTGCCATAGATGACAGCAAGACCGGCCATAGGAGGAACAATCAGCAACACAAAGCTCGCAAGACTGGGCGAGACGTAGAACTAGAAGAAGAGAGAAAGAAGCGAAAACAGGAGTTCTGGTGAAGGAAGTTTATAGAAAATGGTTTCACAGTAACAACACAGCTGATGACCTTTAAGAGTTTGATAAAGATGCAAAACATGAAAGAAAATATATTTACTCATTTACCATCCTAAGTCACGATAATACTCCACACCAAACATCAAGGGCCAATACACAATCTACACCAACCACAAGAAGACAGAGTGTTATTTTATTTTGGCGTTGTTTCAGTATTACTACTGAAAAGTTTAATCGAGTTAATCAGCAACATTAAAACCTCAGTTATAGCTCACTTGACAAGGAAGAAAATCTTTTCTTCTTCAAATAGTAAAAGTTAAACTTGTGTTAAAATTTTAAAAAGTTGCCGGTTTCGCTCTGATCTGATTGAATCCACTGTAGAAGCCACTGTGCGGAAATCTGGGTGCATTTTTGTTGTTAAGCGTGAAAGCATTTAAATCAGTGAGGTCACAGTGACACATCACAAGACTTAGACAGCTAATGGAGCTATTGTGATCTGTGATACTCTGATCCACCCAGTTTAACAGCTGATTACGGTAATTACTTCCATTCATTTCCTTGACCATTTACAAAAAGTGGAAATACATTTACTTCCTTACAAGAAGTAAAAACACCTTGTAAAGGGGGAGAGGTTAAACCATGAAGAAAATCTTATAAAGTATGAAAATGGGTAGAATGAACTATTGATAAACCAGTTTATTAAAAGGCCAGTAAGCAAGCAACAATTTAGCAACCTCTCTGTCAAAACTCTACATGATTTATATTCACATATACACATTTTGTGACTTTAGTAATGAGCATTGTTTGTCAGAGACGTGGCAGCTCCTCACACTCATTTCCTCATGCTAATAATTATTTTGGTAAACCTGCTGTACAACAGTTTTATAGTCTAACAATAGCATTGTGACCACAAGCACGCAGCAGAGAATGAGAAGCTGCAGATCAGACACAGAAAAAATAATAATAAGACACTTCAAAAGCAGACATGCTCTGCTCCAGTGCTGCTCAATGACTAAAACAGAGCTTTAATGTAAGAGAGAGCGTGAGAGATATACAAGGAAGGTTTTTTAAAACAGGAACTATGTGACATTTCAGCTTGAAGATGACATTTCCAACAATTCTTTGCTTCCAGAAGTCACACGGATAAGAGCAAAATACTTCACCGCTGTGTGTGTGCCTTTTCAAAAGGCTCATTCTGAGGAGGATAATTATCTTTGTGGCTCCAGGACATTGACTTTATAATATTTATGTCCATAGTAATCATTACACAGTTATTTAATCAGCAATTTTTTATGCTTCCTCCCTCATTCACAGGGTTTTTCCAGGTTCCCAGCTGGTCTTCATGTAGACGTACAGTATTTTTTATATTATATAAAATACACTTTAGCATTTTTCTGTTGTTTTTTGACACTTTATGACAAAAAATATTTATGACTGAGCAACTTAAAACCTATTTTTAAAACATCACATTGTGATTTTCCTTTGGTGTAAGCCCAACTGTTTTACGTATTATTTTTTTTATATACCACTGGATTTGGTGCGTGCACTAGTGGCATATAAAACCTGACTTATAAATAATGTACAGATCCATGGATCAAGGTTCAGCTGAAAGTCTGGGATATTTTAAGAAGAGAAGATAAACTAGAGGATAATTTACAAATACATGCTGAGGTTAAGCCTAATGAAATGGATCAAGTTTGAGGAAGGTCTGTCACTGTGAAAAACAGGACTTTTTCAGATATTTGAACACACCATTAGACACAGACTAGATCTTAATGACCCAATATTGAAAATATTCCTTGATGCTTACCAAAGTGATTCAACTAAGGGCAACATCTCTAAAATTTATATAAATAAAAAAAAAGCATTTGACCAAATAATTAAATAAATATATTCACACCATGGAATCATTAAAGAGAAATGCAGGGAAAAAAGGAGCAATTTCTTAATATCCAATGAGAACTAGTTGAATGTATTAAATTTCAGTGGAAATATACATATTCTCGGATAGTGAAAGAACTTGAATTGGCATATTTAATTTGTTTGTTTATCCCACCACAACAGAAAGCCCATTTTGCAGGAGGAGATTCTAAACGTGGCTGTGTGGGTTCCAGGAAACCAATCACTGGCATATATTCTGGGAATGTCGGCTGATGAGGCCCTATGACGCAGACATTCACTAATTCACTTCTCACAAAGGGCTGAAACACATACTTAACACTCATCTACCTTTGCAGCTCTCCTCTGATACACTCTAATGAATACATATTTGATATTCTGCCTGCAAAAAAAAAAAAAAAAAAAAAAGCACTCACTAAAGACATTGGTTGCTGCCTAAAGCACCCACAATTCATGAGTAGATAGATATATTATATCATCAATTCGAAGTCGCTCTGAAAATTCTTCATAACTTTGTGTGTGCACTCCATCCCTCCCAGAATAGATTACATGAGACTTTCATATTTCTGTAAAAGCCAACAGAAGATATGAGATCGTACTGGCTCCGAATTTGCATTTATGAATATCAACTGCAAATAAAGAATTAAAACAAACAAACAAAAAACAATAATAGAGGGTTCAGATATGACCTGAGGGACAAGAGCAACACACTCGGAGGGGATGTACTCACCATCATGCTGACACCAGCAGCTGCCTGGGCAACGGCTCTCAGCCCATCTGACAAGTTGTCTGTGATTGAGCGGCCCACCACGGCCGTGTCAGCAGAGAGACGGTTTATAAGCTCGCCAGTCCTATTCTTGTCAAAGAATGCCACTTCCTGTCTGAGAATGGAGGAGAAGACGGAGGCACGGAGATTACGAACAATCTGTTGCCCTGCAGAGAGATGGGAAACGTGATCAGAGAGGGAGAAAGCAACTGCTGCTGTGCAAAATTACATGCACTTGGCCATGCCAGAAAAACGTCTGGTTCACACTTGATTATGTTCGGGTAAGTATTTGGCCAATTGTAAATTCAATGTTTACAGGTGTTATTAATTAACTAAAGAGATAGAATAACATTTTGGGAGATTCCCTCATTCATGTCCATCCATCCATTGAGAGGTTGGGTAAATCCTGTAACACACATGCTCACATCTACAGCCAATTTAGATTTCCAAGTATGAAAAGAAGCCACACAGCCTCAGCCAGACAGGAGGTTGGGACGTCCTGCTCTTCATCCCACCCCCCAACACTCTAATGTTACTCTTGGCTGAGAAAGAAAAAGAAGCAGAGACTCCAGGAAGTCTCTGTGCTGGGATAATGGCTGGCAAAAGTAACTACAGCTTCTAAGTTTTCCATAAAACCACCTCTTTGTAGTTGTGACATTTATGTTTTTGAATAAATAAACAGGGCAAGACACGAGGCTCTCTGTGGTAACACAATCACATCAAAGCCTTCAGGTCACACTGTAAGACTGACCTTTAGATCCAACTCTTTGCAAACAATCTCTTAAATAAATAATTCCTTAAATGGTTGTTTGGATTATTTCCCTGAACTATGAAGATTAAAGCACAGACCATGAGGAGAGAGCTCAAATTTAACTGTAGTCTCAGCTGTCCAGTGTTTTTAATTTTTTAATAGTTACCCAATTAAGTGCCTTCGTTTACGTCAGGTGAGTAAATCTCACCTGAGGACTGCATGAGGTAGACTCTGGCGGCATTACACGCTCCACCACACAGAAACACCCCCGCCAGCATGATACACAGCGACGTCAACGAGGCCGTCATCGTCTCGGCGTCTGATGCACTGGCGTAAATGGTGTCAATCACTCTGCCCAGGAAGAAGGGAGCTGACATCGTTACTGCACTGGAGACAGTCAGGAAGCCTATAGCAGCTGTGGTGGATAAAACAACAAAAAGAGAGAAAAATCAGAACCAAAGCAAAAATGTGACACTTTAAATGTGTGTGAAAAATAAAAACCCAGGGCTAGAAATTATTAAACAAAGTCTTATCTTCTTCTTTGAAAGAGTTATACCAACACAACTACTATGGGAGGTTTTTCTAATGTCACAGATATTTTAAACAGAGCAAAGAGGAGCAAGAAAGGTTTATAGTAGGCAATGAATACCATTTGACTTCAACATGTACAGCTGCAGTCTCGACATGAGATCAGATGAGGTTAATGTAAGCCAGAGATACTAAAGAACTGTGAACCCTAAAGAAATGCAACCCTAACCTAAAAGAAAATACAATGACCACTTTGTAAAGTACAGTGAGGTGACCGGTTGTCACTGATTACAAAAAACATGGTAAAAGTGTAGACACTGTTTTACTTCAACTGATTGTTACGCTTGCATGCACATGACATGAGGGTTGGGAAACAGGAGGACTTACGAAAACCTTATAAAACTACAAATAAACTTCTACAGAAACAGGAAGTAACCTCTTGTTTAATGTGTGAGGTCAGCTTTGGCAAGCAGAAATAGATTTGTGATTTTATTTTTGTAATATTTGTGCTATCATCAATCCAGAAAACAGAAGAAATGAAGTGTGCCAGAACACCATCAGCTCTGAAACTTAACCCGACACGTAAAAACCTCCAGGGGAGCTTGAAGGTTTTCAGACCAATAATAATAATAATAATAATAATAATAATAATAATAATAATCCACAGCTATTTACACAACATAAGCAGGGGTTTTCCAGGCTTAAAATGGACCTAATGGTGTCAGCTATGCACATAAGTGTGAATGAGCTGTGTATGGTTAGGACAGCAAGTCTATATTGCCTTGGTTAATAGACATCTGTCCATTTTCTGACATTGCTGCCCATTTTGTGAACAAAACTGAAATTTAAACTGAGCAGAAGGCTAACACGTTTTTTGTGGGCATCGGGAAAAAAGAAGGAAAGGATCAACTTTCATAATGCTGTAAATATCCTAAAGGTAACTGATAAAGTGTGTCAGCAGATAGAGACACTATCAGCCGGGCACCAAAATCATTGTTTACAACGCTTTAGGACTCTGCAGCACATGTCACAGAGTAGCATCACAGCTCACAGACTAGAGTGTGGGGTTTGTCATGCATATAATGTGTTTGGCACTCAACATAACTAAAAAAAAAACAAAAACGAACTGATTCCACAGTAACACATTTACTTTGGGCACCTGTTTTATTTGAAGTCTTTCCTACTGTTCAAGCCTACTATTATTTCTTTCTTTTTTCCTTTTAAATCCCTAGCACTGCTTTTTTAAGTTTAAAAATACATTCACGTCATGTCAAGTTTAAAAATAAATTTACATTTTTTTTTAATGATTGTAAATCACCTACAGCAGTCCACATTTTGCGAGTCAGTGATATTTAAATTATAAAATGCAAAATCAACGTATATTTCCCACAAAAGGGAGTATCAGACACAGTTTTCTAAAATTACAATAAAAGTGACACCTTGTTTTTATTAAGGTTAAAGCACTTTAAAAATAAGAAATGTTTTTTACTCTGTCAGTGAAACACCTAAAGTTAATGATCCAGTTATGTTGTTGATGGTTTTTGTTAATGGCTACACCTTAAGGTAAAAGGTCACATAAAGTTTACCTGCCAGTCTTCCTCTCTCCGGGTGAGCCAGTCTCAAAATCCTTTTAACATCCTCCAGGGGGACCGTGGTGGGGGCCTGGCTTCTTTCTGTGTCCGCCTGGGTCTTCACTGATCCGGCAGGTGAGGGTGTAGAGGCCGCTGAAGAGCTAGCAAAGGCAACAGGTGTGCGAGCGAGAGTCCGGCTGTGTGCGCAGAGCACAGGGACACCCGTGAGGGGGCTGCGCGGTAGGACCGTAATGTAGGGCCTGGGAGCCCACACAGGGAATGCCAGGGTCGGATGGAGTGAGGATTTGAGCCCGGATGACTGCCTCGTCCTCCGGAGGGCAGCTGAGAAGGTCGGACGATGCTCCAGCCATAACAACCTAGAATGCATTAGCTTCAACCTGGATAGATGCACTTTGTGTGTGCAGCCTGGCACGCGTATTAAAAGACACATCGTCCTATTTCACAGCTATTTACCAGATAATATATGATACTTGATGATTTCGTCAAAAAATATAAATAAATCTCTTTGTATTGCTTTCTCCGGACTCAGTCTTTGAGGGTGTCGATGTGTTTCTGGTTCAGTAAGTCCACCAGGAGAAACATTTTTGGACATCCAGCCGGTCTGCCAACACACCGTGTCCTCCCGTACAGCTTGTGACCGCTACATTGTCGCTTTTAGACCGTTGCTGTCAATTTTATCTGTTCCTGACAGCCACCTTTTACCCACTTTATCTCTTATCACCGAACAGCTACCAACACCCCGCCTGTCGCTCTCATCTGCCGCTAAAAGTCCGTTTGGCAGGCGGGTGAAGTGAAAACACCAGCTGCCAAATACTGACCAACAGAAAGTCCGCTGGAAAGGATAGACCTACTTTAACGAAGAGGGTAAAAGATATAAACAGGAACGGTGACCCTGATTTGTCTCGCGTACACAAGATACCTCTTCCAACTCAACGCCGACTTCAATGGCTGACGATATAAACTTTCCCAGACATAACCAAACAATCCCAGATCACTCGCACATGGTGGCTCATAAATCTCATCTCATAAATTCACCCTTTATAGAACATAGAAGATGTATAAAACTTTTTTTTTAAAGAGACATTTTACTATTCTGTGAATATGTTTCATCTTGTCAAAAATAAGAGTTCGTTTTAATTTTGAAGGCAGCAACAGGTTTCAATAATCTGGGATAGAACCGTGTTTATCACTGTGTAGCATCCCCTCTTCTTTTAACAACCATCTGTAAACATCTGGTAACAGGAGACCCACTGCTGGACTTCTGGGAGCAGAATACTGTCCTATTCTTGTCTGATAGAGGTTGCTACCTGCTTAAAAGTCCTTTTTTGCTGTATTCTTCATTTCATGATGCTCCAAATGTTTTCAGTTGGTGAAAAGTCTGGACTGAAGGCAGGGCACTGCAGCACCTGTACTATTCTACTATGAATCCAAACTGCTGCAGTAGGCAGTTTAGCATAGTATTTGCTGAAATATGCCAGTTTACCTAGTGACACCTCCACCTCGTCCATTTCCTCTCGTACCCACATTTTCCAGTACAAATTAATTTCCCTCCCCTTCTCTTCTAGGCAATAATATAGTGGGGGGTGCTTTGTATAGTAAATCTGACTGACTGTCAGAACTGAGATTATGTAAAACAAAACTTTTCTTTCTGTGAGATTGTTCACCATAGTAACATGATTATTGCTGTCATATCTGCTTTGTATGGGTAAAACAGTCCTCTCTCGTGTGCTTTCTGGTTAATTGCATCATTTTCATTTTCTCCAGAGAAAAAAGGAATCACCACATAGCTGCCCACATCTGTATCTGCCTATTTCCTGTAATTTATTTGAAACCTGCTGCAGGCTCCCTTCCTCTCTTCCAGGTGGCTGTGTTGTCAGTGAAAACTGATTTATCTATGTCCCCTGATACCTGATTAAATATATCATTAGTCATGATTAGAACGAGCAGTGGGTTGATTAAATTACCCTGAGCTATTCCAGCCAAGTCCTTGATTTATGCTCATCTTTTTAATGGTAAATGGTAAAATGGCCTGCATTTGTATAGCGCTTTTCTAGTCCATAGGACCCCAAAGCGCTTTACACTACATTCAGTCATTCACCCACACATTCACACACTGGTGATAGCAAGCTACATTGTAGCCACAGCTGCCCTGGGGCGCACTGACAGAGGCGAGGCTGCCGGACACAGGCGCCACCGGGCCCTCTGACCACCACCAGTAGGCAAACACGGGGTTAGTATCTTGCCCAAGGATATTTGGCATGCAGCCAGGATGCAGCCTGGGATCAAACCACCGACCTTCTGATTAGGGGCTGACCTGCTCTGCCACCTGAGCTACAGCCAAAAAATTGATTTTTTTTTCACAGCAAAACAGTGCTGCTTACTGTTTCTTTACTTCCCTAAGCTTTAATTCTCAGCTACATTAGCATGGCAGAGCATACTTGGATTTTCCCACAGGAAGTTATTTTGTGCCTTTGAGTGCTGCTTTACACATTTAAACTATGCTCATCTCCAAAATTTACTCATTTAACAGTTCAGTCTCATTTATTTTAGTTCTTTCTCTCTCTCATTTAGTTTCCCCTTAGTTTAGTTTTAGTTTCCCTTGTATCTCAACAAATTAATTAGCCAGCATTTCTATGTTGTCTTTATTTGTAATTGCTTTTTCCTTGACTTAAAAGTGAAAGGACCCAAAACAATTAAAGTTGTATGCATATTGATATTATGTTTAGTTCACACAAACATATGTGTTGCCTGAAAATATAGAGACATTAAAACTGTCTTTGAGGGGCGAGTGTACAGGTAGACCATGTGGTTGGCGCCCAGGTCGCTGTAGTCACTGACTGTGTCCCAATTCAGGGTCTGCACGCTTGAAGTACGCGTTTTAAGTGCGGTTACGTCACCGCCACGCGACGACGGCTGTCCCAATTCGGAGTGTACTTCAAATGCATACTCAAAATGTGCCGTCGATTTCCCCAAATATCAAGCGTGGTCCGGTGCACGCTTCGTGGTCCCATATATCCCACAATTCATAGCGCGGCGGTGGGTGTGGAGAATTTTGCCAGAAGGGAGCAGCCGAAGAGGTTTTTTTTCTCCAAACTTTATTGAAATTATAAAGCGAACAGTCAGTCATTCCAGTTCAGTTTGTACAGTAGACATACAAGGCAAATAAGAGTAACAATATACAGTACAATGAAATAAGAAGATAAATAAAGGATAAATAAATAAAGGGAAAAAAGAAAAAAAGGGTGACAGACTTCATAACAACTTTGTACTTTATACTTTGTACTTTATTTATATGTATATGTATATATATATATATCATAATAATCTGACAATACCATAATATTGGCCATATTATATTTACATTACCACAGTGAGATGATTTTAGTCTCATGAACAACATTAACTAATTGTTATTTACTAACTAATCTTAAATGACTGTTCAGCACAGAAATGAAGCCCAACAATCATGTTTTACAGTCCCGTGGTCTCAGCCTCAGATACTCAACTAATCAAAGTGATGTCATGACAAAAATGAATGACCAACAAAACATTTTTCTCCTTCATTTCTGTCAAACAATGCTGTATGTAAGGTGTCTCGCGGTTAGTATCATGGTTGCTAGGCAACCTGAACAGCGCGACGAAGCGTATACCGTCCCATTTCACAAGCCTCTCACTTCCGCACTTCTCGTACTTATAGTACGCACCGTACGTAGTACGCGTAGTGCGCGTACTTCAAGCGTGCAGACCCTGAATTGGGACACAGCTCCAGTCTCCGTTGGCCGACAGGTTCATATCGTCTCTCGATTGCTTGTGCCTGGGCCGGCAGGGTGAAAGTTGAGGGGTCGTTCAAATCAGAAAACAGGAGACACGTGCGGATTCCAAAGCAGTAAGTTGAAAGACCTAAATTTGTCAGATGTGGGTCGATGGTAATAATCAAGTAAATCAGACGTTCTGAGCTGATTTGTATGCGTGCAGGCGGCTAGCAGCATCGGGATTAGTCCATGTTAGTATCAATATATGCTGCGTAGCTAGCCGTTAGCATTAAGCATGTCAGTGTGTGTTTCTGTGATGGGACTTCTACTGGTTTATCATTCTTATAAATGATTATTTTTTTTTACTTTATAAGTTAAAGTAACTCCGACAGATGGGGAAATAAACTCGGAACAACAAGTACTCTATAATATAAAACGACAGAATGCATAAAAACGATCAGTTCTAGATTATGAATTGATGACTTTTGTTTAAAACGGTAAAGAAAAATTTATCACTGCTGTAAAGACTTCTCGGGCTGCTTATAAATAGTGCAAAGCGATACACTCTCAGGCCACTTCACTAGGAGCACCTTGCTAATATCGGATTTGATCCCCTTTTCATTGAGAGCTTCCTTAAATCTTCGTGGATTCATCTTGAAAACATTCCTCAGAGATTTTGATCCATGTTGACATAATAGTATTACACAACAGCTGCAGATGTGTCAGGTGCATTTCCTCACCACTGTGTGAATCTCGTCTTCCACCACATCCCAAAGGGGACCATATTGAATTGAGAGCTGATCACAGCAGTTCACAGCAGAAAATTGAGACTCGTCAGACCAGCCAGCTTATTTCCAGTCTTTTTTTGTGCTCATAATTAGTTTAATAGATATAAATAATCAGTTGTTTGATCAATAAAGTGAAAAAACCCCCCGCCTTGAATGTAGTCACATCCGGTTGTAATCCAGATGTTAGACAGATGGGGAGCAGTCTAGTGAGTACAGAGAGTTTGCAATGATGGGGATAACTGATGTCTGATAATTTAGATGAAGCCTAACACAACTGTTTTGCTGTTTGTTCATAGGTAAAACTCACAGTGTCATTACATATATATGTGTATATATACATTACAACATATGTCACAAATACTAAGACACGCATTGGTGCTAAAATAAAGTCAAGCAGCCACTTCTATAGAACACTATATCCCCTCACTCTTGACACTATTTCCTGTTATTTAAGTAGGAGTAGGTGAAGTTCAGGGTATTGACAAATACATATAAAAATGATGTGGTTAACTGTTTCAGACAGCTTGTTTAAACACTGTGCCAAACTTAATTTGCTTGTCACTAAACTACTTCATGTGTATAGTAATTCTTTTCATTTTATCGCAGCTATTTGGAGGATGCTAATAAACTAAAAAAATGGATGGAATAGTTTTTTCCCTTTTATATAAAAAACAGGATCTGAATATTACTTTATAACTGACAGACAGTTACATACTTCTATAGCATCTATTTATAAAAATAAAATGAAGTAAAACTTCCAATTATTGTTGCATAAAATAAGAGTCAGGAAAAGCCTTACTTATCTCTTTCTGTTTCCTTGTCTGTCTTATATAATCCCAGCTAGCTGGTTTCACCATCACTAATGATTATCAGGAATATCCAGGTTTCCTCTTTCTTCTCCTCTGTGTAACCGCTCACTCCTTGTCTTCTTCCTGTCTTTCCAGACCTTTTGCATCAGCAGCTGCAGCGATGGCTGCCATCTACTCGGGTATCCACCTGAAACTAAAGAGCCCACAGACTCCATGGGATAACAAGCTGAAGCTGGCACGTTTTGCCTGGATCTCCTCACAGTGCCTGCTGCCCAACAAAGAACAGGTAAAAGTGGAAGCTTGTGAATGTTTGTAGCGCGGTAATTTCTTTTTTGGCGTGTATTAAGCAGCAGCTAACCTAAATCTGTCTGTAGGTGCTGTTGGACTGGTGCACCCATGCCCTCTCACTCTACTACAGTAAAAAGGTGGAGTTTTCCCAGGATTTCTTGGAAGGCCTGTGGTGCTACCTTGATGATGTGCTTCACAGCCGGAAGCTCCAGTCTTTCCTCAAGCAGGGAAAGACCATCACTCTCAAGCTCAACATGGCACAGGTACTCCAGCAGTTAAATCAGAAATCATGTCTGTGATATAACAGCACATGTGATCTCCTCTGACTCTGTCTTGT